AGAGCAGAATAATGAAGAGGGCAGTTTATTCTCTGTAGAAACACTGTATTAAATATTCTTTTTTTAAACTTAATAACAGAAAAGAGAAGTGGAGCTGAAAAGCCCTGTCAGGCAATTCAGATGGAGAGCTGGTTTCATCTCGTCGGAGGATGCATCTCAGTAATGAGGCTCGCTCTTTTTGGTTTCCACTGACCCCCCGTCACCTGTCTCGTTGCTAATGAGCTTTGTAAACGCGAAAGGAAGAAGGGGCCGTTGGTCACTAATGCAAACAGGGATTGGTCCAGATACTTGTTTTCCTAAGAAACTCTTGCACCGTTTTCAGTTGTTGCTTTCTTCCACTTTGAAAATGATCTTCCTTATGTTGTCTTTGCTCTGGGTTTACCTTGGAGGGCGAGTCTTGTCGGAGGTGCTCTGCTCCTGGCATGCTGGTGGGATGAAGCGGGGGCCGGGAGAGCCGACTGCCATGAGTGCTCCCGGCTCAGGTCAAGCAGCAGTCCCGTGCGTCAGCAAGGATGGCTCTTGTGGTCTTCTGGAGGTTAGCAGCAGGGATTAGGGATGGTAGGACTCATGGCTTCTCTTCCCAATTTTGTTTCTGCTGCTCCATGTGACCTTGGATGGTATCTTTTAAAGGGAGGAGAGAGCTCAACTCTCCTCTGAAAACCAGATAAAAATAACACTTTCATATTCAGCGTATCCGTTCCCTGGGCAAATTCAGTGTCCTTTTTGCTGACTGTAATGACAAACATGAAGACCTCTCTGCTCTTGCTAGCCCTGCGTTGCCAGTGAGGCTGAGAGAGGGAGAGCCAGAGGCTGTCTGCGCTGCTGGTGAAATGGAAATGGAGGTGCGGTCGGTTCTGCCTTGGCAAACCTATTGACAGCAGTGGGGTTGCTGCTTTGGAGCTGTGGGCCAAGTTTAGTCTGCAGAATCTCTTATATCAGTGATAATACACAAGACAAACTTAAGTTTTCTTCCCAGTCCGCAGAGCATTTTGCAGAGTTAGCCATCACAGAGAAAACAACTCATTCCTATGTAAACTGAGTGGACTTGCAAGATGGTAGAATTATATTTGTATGGTAATGTCCTCTCCATGGCTTTTCAGAGCAGACTAGCAACCTGTAATTTCCCCCTACCTTGGCTTTCCTCTCTGCAGAATGATTTAAATCCTAAATCAGTGGAGCTTGGATCTCCCAAGCTGTGAGATTAATTAAATTTATCTGTTGCTTGTTGGTTAGATCCTTCAATGAACAATGTTTTCGGAGCTTCAAGTAAGTTCCCCTGGCTGCCGATGGCTAGAGGCCATGCTGAGCTAACATGGCAAATCACAAACAGCTTCTTTTGAAAAACTGGCTAGTGAGTTGTAGGATCTGTTTGCCACTTTGGAGAAAATCAGTAAATCCCTTTTTTTTGTCTGAATGGTGCACAGGGTTAGTTGGCTGGCTGCTGTGGTGCTGCCATATCTTGCCGGTTCTCACCCTGCACGGAGCAGCCACTATGGATGGTTTGGAGAGGAACGTGTCACCCATGATTGCCCAGACAGAATTATTGGCCGAGTTAGCTATTGATTTTCTAATCATTTTCAGACGCACACCCCCATCCTATGTCACTGCCAAGGTAGATCACAAATTGAACTGCAGCTGAATTGATGTGGGGTTGATTAAAACTCACAGTAATTATTGGTTCTCTGCTGCCTGAGCCAGACAAATCAATGTCAGCAATAACAGATATGGTTCTCTGTAAAAAGCCCAGAAAATACAGAGCAAGTGCTGTTTTTGTAAGCCCACCCAGGAGCCCAAACTGACTCCTCAGTGCAGCCCATGGAGTCAAGATTAGCAGATTCCCCCCGCTTCCCTCCCCACCCAGGTAACTTCTAGGTGCACTCAGTCTGTGGGCAGGGACCTTATAGCGCCTGAAGGGGCTTTAGCTATCCCTCAGTTCTGATTGTGGGACATCCTGGTGGTAAACCCTCTGTCACAGGAACAGGAAGATCCTCGACTGCAGTAAAGCTTTACTGTGCCAAATGGTTGCTCCATCCCCCTATTCTGGCCCTGCTTTCTTTGAATGATTCAGATACTACTGGGAAGTGCAGGTAGAACTTGCAGCCCAAGGGGGTTGAATTTATTCCTGCTTCCTCTGCCGTACGCCTGTTGGCAATTAGTGACAGCCAGCAAAACAAAGCTAGCTGGTTCTCCTGGGTCTCTGTCCCTATCATGCTCTCCCCAAAGAAGAGCACGTTCCACCTCCAGCCCTGCCAGGCAGGGACGCCTCCCTGGTTTGTGTGTTGGCTACGAAAGCTTTCTGTCCCTGGAGAGCTTCTTGCTGCAACACAGCAGCTGGCTGGAGAGCTGGCTCCCCAGAGCTGGGGGACTTGCGGAGGGGAGAGAGGAGAGGGTGCTTTCTTTTACAAATTTAATGCTGAGCTATTTGCATTCCATAATTAATGTGTATTAGCATGCAGAATTACAAACAGCAACAAAACACGCTTCCTGGTGATTAAGAGCCAAATTGGAGACTTGTCCCACGGGGTCACCTAAGTCAGAGTGGGGCTAAGATAGGGAGGGCCTTTTATGACCCACTGACCTAGTCCCAGGGAAATAGCCATCATCTTTCTCTGCAGGCTGGGGAAGAAGCTTAGTTTAAAATGCCTGTCTCAGTCCCAGGT